GTCATTTACCCAAAAAAAAAAAAAAAAAAAAACAAAGTCAGTTACTTTGTAATTGCGTATATTTTTCATAATTAAAAATAGGTACACAATAATTTATATAAAATATAGGTACATTGTAAAACAAATAATAGGTACTTTATTAAGCGAAAAAAGGCTATATTATTTATAGAAAAAAATAGGTACATTATTTAGATAAATAATAGGTACTTTATTCGTAGTAGGTATATTATTCAAATGGTAGGTACATATGACATATAATACCTAAATCCTAATTGTAAGTACATTAAAATTAATGTAGGTATATTGGATGTCGTATAATGTAGGTATATTGGAATAGATAATTATGTACACTTTTCATACTAGGTAAATTATATTTTTCATAAAACAAACAAGTAATAGGTACATTATTTTTTCAACATAATTAGTATGTACAGTTTCATTCATAAACAATTATAAAGTGGATTATTATTCATGTATAATTCATAAAAAGAAAATAACATAAACATTTTATTAAACAAACCGATTACCCAAATTTGAGTTTATTGTTAAATTTTTTATAAAATGTTTCAAAATTAATTCCTACATCCATTACAACCATTTGGAGATCTTTCCAAATTCAACATCTGTCATTATATACAATCCAATTAAAAACTGTTTCCATATTGATTCCTATATTAATATACAAAATGCAATAATGGCTTAGTTGGGGGTATTTTTGGAATCTGAAAAGTACAATAAATCAAATTTTATGCTTAATTAGGTAACTTGCTGAGTTGGATCCTAGTCATGGGTTTTTACTTATACAAATTGGGTATTATTTATAGGAACAAAAAGTGAAGGGTTTTAGGTACGGCAAATTGAACTTGAAGGGTGTAAGCCAAATTTACTATAAATTAAAATGCCCTTGTCCATTTCTTTAGTTTTTTTGTTTAGTACAAGCGCTAAATCAAAGTAAAAGAGGGGGTTCTCACACATCCACGCTACCAAGGTGCCATTTGAACATGAGACCTTAGTCTGCAAGTTTAGACCATTTTTCACTTCACTAGACCTATTTCTTATATTATATCCATTAATATCAAAGCTCAATTAGGCATAACCAACAAAAAAATATGTGCTTTGATTGCAAACACAAACTATTAATTATACCTCTTGGTTAATACATACACGGATTTTCATGTTTGTAAATTATTTTTCTAACTCGGTATCTTTTGTTAACAGGGAACTAAAAAAATTGAAGGAGTTGCTCTAGATATGCGAAATCCTGACAAGGCTAGATTCAGTGCACAAGCATTTACCAACATGAAAAAACTGAGGTTACTCCACCTCAGAGGAGTAGAGCTCACTGGAGAGTACAAATATTTTCCCAAAAAGTTAATATGGTTGTGCTGGCATGGATTCCCTTTAGAGTCCATACCAGATGACTTTCCTATGCAACCAAAACTAGTTGCTTTAGACCTGCAGCATAGCAAACTCAAAATAGTTTGGAAGGATTGCAAGGTATAATAATCTCAACTTCTCTGGTTCTTTCCTTCTGGTTCTATACATATATCATACTTCACCCTCTCTTCATTTTGGTTTAATTTCTGTATCAGAGACCTTCCTTTTGGATTTTAATTTCCATTCTAATTTTGTTTTTGTGTAACAGTTGCATGAGAATTTGAAAATCCTAAATCTCAGTGATTCCTATCAGCTAACAAAATCACCAGAGTTTTCAAAACTCCCAAATCTCGAGGAATTGATATTGGAATACTGTGAGAGTTTGTCTGAGGTTCACTCATCCATCGGGGATCTTGGAAGACTTTCTTTGGTAAATCTTGAAGGCTGCGAAATGCTAAGGGATCTCCCACTGAATTTCTATAAGTCCAAGTCTATTGAAACTCTTATACTTGATGAATGTCCG